TCGTGATTCTAAAATGTTTCGAGATGACGCCCAGTCGCCGTCTTGGAATTATGAACCGTTGGTGTGTTTCATGTTACCTTGCTAATGTGACCCATTTAAAAAATGAGTAGGGGACTATTATGGAAACCACTGTATATTTGATAGTGACAAAAAGTAACGCCAAGTGAGATTTTCCTTTTGCCACCATTACCTTAAACCCGGATTCCGATCGGACGGAGTAAATGAGGTTGAAATCTAGCCAATGCCAAACCCGCCGCTATCAGCGGAAAGTATAGGAACTGTTATGTGTGTCGGTGACAGACGACCCTTCCTTATAGAATCTCCCTTATAGAATTCAATATTCGCAGTCTGTGCCGCCTCGATGCGACCGGCGGCGGCTGTTCTTGCCGTCTCTCCTCTTGACGACCTCATTTAATGAACTGCCTACAGATCGCATATGACGGAATTAAGATATGTGAGTACTAGGCATTTTTATTCATACAAGCTAAGTCAGAGGAATTAATGTTAAAGACAGTACTACTGCTCAGACATGAAAAATTGCGTCTCATAGGTTAGCTCTATATCTCCCGCGCAACCCTCAGGACACAGTTTGCTACTAACATGTATAGCAGAAGATGGACCAAGTCAGCCAAAATAGGTCCATTTGATAACGATAAATATTTCTTCCCTGTCGTACCGATAACGATATCGAATCAGCAGTCAGGTATGCTATAAATGCCAGAGCGCCAGCGATGAGTGGTCAGGCGCAGACAGTACTTCGTGCTGACTCGTATGTTGCCATGCACCGATACGTGAAGCGTAAATGTACGGGGAAACCTATACTGTGTCAGAGATATCTTATAGCTGCGAGTGATAACTGGAGTTGTAGGCAAATAAATAGACTAGATATGCCCTACCCCATCCCCTAAAACTCCACAAAATATCTGAAAGTGATCAGGAATCTCTAAAACGTCAAGAAACCAACTTTGAGTGTTTTCATTTTTTCGATTTTTGCCTGTAGTTCAGCTGCCATTCGGCCGATTTTCAAAAGCTGCAGAGCTTTTTCATCCTTGGCACAGAAGTAGCCCTGTGTGGAAGTCTCATCAAAATCCGAGCGGTAGTTTCAAAGTTATAGACGGGCAAAGGGTTAGGATTGCAGTTGCAATACTCGATCACCAGTGGTGTGTGAAATAAGATACTATTAACATGGTACATTTATCCAACTCTGCATACAACGTATAGTCAACGCCAAACAAAGTGGCGTGCACGTCATCAAGGTGGGTGTGTTGAAAAATTTACATTGTTGCCAAACTTTTTGTAAAATAATAAAATTTATTATTTACATATCTAGGTTTATAAGCAATATTAACCTCAAATGAGAACAAAAATAATAGTATAATAAAATTATAGATCTGTACTTGGATAATCATTAAGTATGACAATTATTGATCAGATGACACTATGAAACTACCATATTTAATTGATAGCTTAAAGGTACTGAATAAAAATCCAAATGGGGTCCTCCAAATTTTATGCATGGTATTTATTTTACAGAATTCATACAGAAAAATGCATTCTAAAATTAGGTAAGCTACTGGTGTAAGCTTTTTCTGTACAATAAAGTTAGTCGGAGTTTCTTTCTTCAGCGCTGTCTGAATCTGAATCTTCATCACTCTCAAAGTTGATTATTAAAGGTTCGATGTCTGGTCGATCAAAAATTCGTTCTCTTTCATACCATTTAAAAATTTCTTGCTCAGTATGTCGAACACTATTTTTCCAAATGTCTGGGGTAACCGTTTGTAGAGCCTCGTTCCACATATCCAAACAGTCTTTTTCACTGTTACCATCTCTACCAATATGTCTGTTATAGTAACCTTTTGCTATGGCCCAAATTAACTCAATAGGGTTAAATATACAATGGTAAGGAGGCAGACGAAGAACTTTGTGCCCATGTTGTTCCGCCAATTCATCAATCACGTATATTTTAGGTGGTTTGTTTCTAAAAAAGCAGTTATTTTAAGAATAGGAATAAACAAAAGAAATATAAACTGTCGACCAAAATATATATAATTAAGAAGCATTATGTACCGAGCAACAATACTCAATAGCTCTGTTTTAAACATTGTGTTTAAAAGTGGTATGTTTTGATTTGTCAACCAGTCTTGGATATTTTTTTTTGTCCATGCATTGTTGGGCACTTTGTTCAATATCATGCTGTGATAAGGGGCGTTATCCAGTATAATCATAGATGGACTCTCCAATTTTTCTAATAACTGATATTGAAACCATTTCAAAAAATTGTCCTGGTTCATCTCTCCATGGTAATCGCTCAATTTTGTTTTCGAAGAAAATATCGCTTCACTACCCTCAATAAACCCATTTTCATTTCCAGCATGTAATATAATGTATCTAAAATATATTAGTTTTAAATTTTATAGTGCAAATTGTGTAAAAGTACATACCTTTTACCATCTGTTTTAATAGCTTTCACGCTTTTTTGGTTTCCATTTTGCCAAGAGCGACCTATGGTCCCATTTTGAAATATCCATGTTTCATCGAGGAAGACAAACTGGTATAAGGCCTCAACCTTGGCTTGATTGTATTGCCTTAGAAATTCCACCCTTTTCAAAGCTATACTTGGTAGTTCCATGAGCCCTCGTCGCGGATTGTGCTTAAGCCACTTAAATCCAAGATCTCTAAGCAACCGCCTTAAAGACGTGGCACTACCATCAAATAATGCCCTATCTCTTAATCGAGACCATAAAGTTTGTATCGTAACTTGTTCTTCTGAAACCATGTGTAATATGACATTATAATTTAGTTAACAAATTAATGCAAATTTCTGATAAGTTATTATAATAAGATCTTACTTTTGTGATACATATTATAGATCACTTCTCGAATGGCACTTGTATCCAATGTCGCTGTGTTGGTTACACGTTTAATATAACTCCGCTTTTTCTTGGGCGATTCTAAATTTGCATCACTTTCACACCCTCGGAAATACGACTAACTGTCCTTAAACTAATTTTTAAAGCAGCAGCAACACGCTACAAAAAAATGAAATAAAATTTCACTATTATTAATATACATTACATATAATTATTAGTAACCTACCTCTTGAACAGCATTTAAAGGCAACAAAGGCCCGTTGTTGTCCCTTTCTTGCTCAAAGTAGTGCATTAACGAGGCCACGAGTTCCTTACACCGACTATTTAACTGTTTGTGCATCTTTATATACCAAAATTGCCTTTATCTACTCGTAAAATGAATAATTTTGTTTTGAAACAAACAGTTGTTGATTTACAGTATGCGGGTCCAAAGGATTTATAAAGATTTGAAATGCCACAAATTGATTCAGTGTCAAAATTAATACAAATGTCAGTTCCCAGTTTAAATAAGTTTCAAGGTGACAATGTGTCAACGCTGCGAAATCGGTTTAGTGCGTTTACATGTCGATAAGTGATTGGAGCGTTTGCAAAACATTTTATTTCGCATAATGCGTCTAAATTTATCAGAAAGCAACTTATTTGATATTTTAATAACAATGTTTATATGACTATTAACCATAATAAGAGAGTAATGACCATTTTACAATTTATATATCACATTAATATGAAACTGCAATAGAGCAATTGTTTGTGATAGAAACCTAGGCATTAGGTCGGGGAATTTTTATCGTGATGACGTGCACGCCACTTTGTTTGGCGTTGACTATAGCTACTGACACAACAAACATTATATCTCCAGAACATATACTTCCATCATCATGCAGTTATTGGCTATGTCTCATTTCCTTCCCACTTGACTAGGTTACATTCTTTAGATGCAATAGTATAAGGGAAGATGCTGATATACCTTTTAGAGATCGCAAGCGATGTGGGTTAAGTGCGCTTCGCACTTGCAGCTGCTTACTTAAATTGCTAACTAACATATCCTCAAAAGCGAATCAGAAGTCATTGTACTGTCTACATAAGTGGGCATATCCCAAAAATGGATAATTCCAGTCCTACAGCCTTATTACGTACTTGCAAAATGACAGGTATGTTGATATTATCGTCATGATTGTCACTTCATAACTAGGTTTCATTCACTTGTGGTAGCGGTGTGTGTGTATCGACTAAACGTAAATTAAGATACCTAGAGCTTTGTGATTGGGCTCTGATGTGATGTAACGTCTGCGCAATTTATAGCTTCTAGACTTAACCTATAAGTTTTATACTATAGCTAGTTTAGCCTTATCTCCATAGGTCACGCACTCATAGCGAGGAGTAGACGTGGCGCAAAGTTGTCAGATGTAAGAGAACTCTCGTACATTTGCACGAGATACGAGATTCATACAAATCGCGTACACTGTTGCACGAGATTTTAAATATTCTGACTCACACAACATTTTGTGGAAAATTATAATAATGCATGCATAAATGACCATAGAAATATCGATGTTTCGATATGTCGTCTGCATCTCTACCCAATGATTACTGTTAGCTTTTTCCACGACAAGAACTCTCAACGCGATGCCTATTCTGTCATACCGTTTTTGTTAAGACCATTACGGACCATTTATTGCTCTTGTCTAGTTGCAAAGATACATCTTCACTTAAGTAAATGTTGATATCACATAATCATATCAACTTTAAGTACCTACTCTTGGCGGAACATAGATTTATATTGCCTTACAGGGTTAGGTTTATAACTTATTCCTTACTTTTATTTTGCAATAAAATATAAATTGCGGACAGACCACCCTATTTTTTTTGGTTCCCTCCCGTCGCTTTTCAATTACTATTTGTTTGTTCTATGTCAAAAACAGCAAACGACTTCCTTGTCCCCGATAGGCTCAACTCGAAGTTCTATCTGTGACAATCACAGCGATGAGATCGCTAAAGTCGCAATTATTTACATTGTACACATGCTGGAGTGTTAAGGATTGCGATGTATATCCTCGTATACTTAAATAACCTATAACGATTTTACCTTGAATAAATTAGCCTTTGTTCCAGAGCTTTCTATACGATGCAGCTACCTTTTCTTTTAGTTTTCGTCGTACATACTTATTTTTGCCACTGTGCCGCCGTCTTTCCACATGAGAAGCCTAGCATTACAAAGTAGGAATATTCAAATCAAACGATATTGGGAGTAAGGCAATATTTTCAACCCCCATACATATATTCATGCCGTTTTCCTTTTGTTTCACCGTTTCATTCGATTCCCCGTTCTGGTAATATTCAATTACACTCCGCATTCCCCAGAGCTACAACAGTACAAAATTAATATAAAATTCACCGAGTAAAGCAGATGCTTACGTCTCATAGCGTCGGCTTACGTTGAAGGTATCGATAACAGGCTGAGGGAAAAGAGTGTTATCGCATACAAACATCATTGTTTATTTCCTAGAATTTATTGAATTTACGTTGTGTGTATTGGCTGTCTGTTTTTCTTCTTTATTAATGGCAAAAGCAATTTTTCAACAGAACTTTGTAGGTCAAAAACGAAACATATACATTTCTCGTCTTAGAATCAGATACTTCTCCAACCCCTAGTTCACGAGTAGCCATTACGTTTTATTTTCTACTGAGGTGAATAGCTGATTAGCAAAAGACATCTTCGTACAGGGTGCGGTAGAGAGGGTGGACGTTTTTGGGATGGGTAGTACTCTCCGCCTCCGTCTACGAGAGAGGTGGGGAGGGTGCCGTTTGACTCGTGAGATCCTAGCATTATTTTACCAGTTGTCGTTATAGAGCCTTGGATGGTGGAGCACCGCGTTTTCGCCTATGATTGTTTCGTCCGAAATAATGAGTCAATCATCGTCGTACGGCGTGAGTTTCGTCGCCACTTCAACATTCATCGGAATAGAGCTGTTCCCTCTCGAAACACCATCCTTCGTTGGGTTGAATCACTTCGCAGGCGCGGTGAACTGAACAACAGAAGACCAAGAGGAGAGCCGCGAACAGTTCGAACTTCTGAAAATGTTGAACGCGTTCGACAGGTCTTTCTTCGCAGTCCGACTCGATCTGCCAGGAAACATGCTGCTGCACTTCGCTTTAGTGATCGTTAGGCAAGGCGAATTTTGCATATGGATCTCCGCTTTCACACTTAGAAATTGGCCATTGCGCAACAGTTACAGCCCGGAGATTATGCACAACGAATGAACTTCGCACGTGAGATGGAAGCACTGATCGATCAAAATGAGAACCTCAGAATTGTCGTTATTGGGCTAATGAAAATCAGCAACAGTTACACGAAAGGCTGCTGCACAGCCTAAAAGTAACGGTTTGGTGCGCTGTATCGCAAACTTGCATCATTGGCCCTTACTTACGGTAATGGTCATGATGTTACCGTGAACTCAGAGCGCTACGTCGACATGATCACCAACTTCTATCTCCCTGAATTACGACGGCCACGTGTTCCAATCCGACGTGTCTGGTTCCAGCAGGATGGAGCGACCGCCCACACAGCTCGAGCATCCATGGACGTTATTCGCCCTCTCTTCCCTGGTCGCCTTATTTCCAGGTTTGGCGATGTTCATTGGCCTCCTCGGTCCCCAGATTTATCCATATGCGATTTTTTTCTTATGGGGACACCTCAAGGCTAGAGTATATGCGAACAAGCCCCGAACTCTGGACGAATTGAAGGGCGAAATTCGCGTGGAAGTCGCCCAAGTTGAGAGAGCGATGTTGGAGAGAGTCTACGCGAACTTCCAAGAACGCCTCCAGCACTGCATCAACGATTTCGGCCACCACATGCCTGATGTGATTTTCCACACTTGACTGTCTCAAATTCTATTTCCTTGTAAACCTGATTCCATCAATAAATTTGTTTTCGAGTAAAAATTACCTATTTTATGATTTTTTTAAAACCGTCCATCCTCTCTGCCGCACCCTGTATCTTCACTGTAAAAGACTTATTGAAATCCTCAGTATTTCTCACACTGCAGCCATAAGCTTTTGATGCAGTCATAACAAAATTTTCAATGTGAGAGGAAAAAGAGAGTTTTTTTGCGCAACATGGGCTTACAACCTGTTAAAACTGAATCGTACATAGCTCGGCACTTGTTAAACGTTTGCCACATATAGCGCAACATGTTGCAAACTGAAATGTCGTGACACAAATGCAGCTCATGTTGCGACAATATTGTGAGTCACAATCACTTGGCACATGTTTCTCCCTTGGTTTGTTCCCCAAGATATTGCAGACTGTTTCCATACCAACAAATGTCTGGCACATGTGTCGACATGCAGGGGAGTCAGAACTCAAACAGTTTCCGCATCGTAGTTTATTGCGGCCCTAGAGTTGACTAAACTTATGTCCCCAAAGTCATGATGCGAATATTTTTGCTTTCGTGTCTGTGATCATGACCAGCCGTATACGAC